CCTTTTTTGTGCGCGGCGGCCTGGGAAAGTATGGGGTCTGAATTTAAATTCTTAGTGCCTCCCTGCTGGAGGGCATCTCAGGAAGATGCAGCCCCCACAGAAGGGCAAATCGGACAGGCAGCAGGGGAAATAGGACCGCTGGTCCGGTAGGAGCATTCCGAAACGTTGTGCCCCTCAGTGACAGGGGCCTGCATGAAAGTTCAGAGGCCCAGGGGCATATCAGGGTAAGTCGGCCGCCGGAGGGACATATCGCAAATAAACGCAAACTTCAGGGGCATTTCAAAATTTTTCCTTAAAATAAAACGAGAAAATTGTAAAACCAAAAAAAAGAATACAAATACAGCAAGCTGGCAGGTGGTAACCCGCAGACCAGGGATAGAGCCCTGGCGGAGTCCGTAACACTATCCCCTCCCTCTAGAAGGCAACGTCCCGGCTGCCAAAAGTCGTGAAAATAATGCTGAATCCTGTGAAGGACGGGATGGGGCCGATCACTGGGAAGCAGGAAGAAAAAGGGAGAGGGGTATAATGTGGGTAGCAAGGGCTGGCGGAAACAGGGTTTTCCTACTGATGAGCTACGGGGTATGCATACTGATGGGCTACAGAGCTGTGAACCGAGAGGGAACAGAGTCTGCCTACTAATGAACTACAGGGTTAGGAACTGCAGGGGAACAGGGTTGTCCTACGGATGGACTACAGGGTTATGATCTGAGGGCTGAACAGGGTTGTCGTACAGATGAACTACAGGGTTACGTTGGGCGAAGGCGTGCTGTGAGCAAAAATAAAGCGGGTTGGGGTTTCTGAGGATCTCAACGTAAATGGGGTGGGGGTGGAAATCAGAGGTTCTGCAAAATGGTCTGGGTGAGAGGCTTGAATCGGGTCTTGAAGTAAGTCCTGGTATGGGTAGACAGAATGCTGCTGATAAACCAGTCTTCAGCAGGCTTGCGACGTGTAGTAGCGAGGTTTCCAGCTTGAAAGAAGTAGTGTAGCAGTCCAATAGATGTAGGTCCAAGTGCCAGGGTGCGTCCCGTACAAAATTGTCTGGGTGAGAGGCTTGAAGCAGGTCTTGGAGTAAGTCCTGGTATGGATAGACAGAATGCTGCTGATGAACCAGTCTTCAGCAGGCTTGCAACGTGTAGTAGCGAGGTTTCCAGCTTGAAACAAGTAGTGCAGCGGTCCAAGTGCCAGGGTGCATCCGGTACACGATCCTGATGATGGAGTCTGATCTGGACAGCAGGGCGCAGACTGATCCTGATGTCCATGTCAAGAGTGCTGCTCCAGAAGTCTGTGATTCCAGGTGCCAGCCAATTGGACAGCATGGTGGCCAACCAGCTGCTTAATCTCCTCGAACTGTGCTGCAGCAGACCATCGTCCTCGTGCGCTTGCCATTAGATCCTTAATCGTCGGTGATGCGCAGGAGCCACAGGTAAGGCTTGGACAAGAGAGACAGAGGATGTGGCAGAGGACGGATTGGGAACGAGACGGAGGCAAGAGCGGATCAGACAGAGAGAGGTCGAGGGGCAGGGGTTTTGCTGGGTGCAGGGGGTGTGTGTAGAGCAAAGAGGCAGGGTTTATGCAGGGTATATGGGTGTTATGCGTAGTATATAGCTAGGATACAGGGTGAGCACGATCATAGGCATGAACAAGTTTCATGGCATTCTTAAGATTATCGAGGCGGTGATGATCTTGTTCGGTGGGGTAGGGGACATCGCCGGGAGGGGGGCTGGCGGAGTAGTCTGCGACGCCTGGGGGTCGACCAGTGGAACAGTGGAATTATGTGCACTCCATGATGAAGGGTACAGAGTTCATGTTGAGGAGGGGCCAGGTCCCGCGGCGGCCGAAGAAGTGGATGTCGCAGGTTTGTTCACGCGGCGAGTGAACTGGCCGGCGTTGGGGTAGTTTGTTTGCTGGTGTCCAAGCTGTCGGGAACGGAAGCAGCCATTGTTGGCTTGCAGGTAGGTGAGATCCTCGGTTGTGAGTTTCTTGAGACAAGGGGGTTGGGTGGAGGAAGATGGTCGAGCCATGTGGTCCTTGCGTTCCATACGCAGGAACTGGATGGTGTTGAGTTCCTCAGAGCTGAGGGATGCCGGGGTGGAGGAGTCAGAAAGGGTGTCGAGCTCAACGATAGGGCCTGTGAACTCGTCGTCGGGGGAGACGCTGCGGTGGTCTCAATGTGGAAGAAGCTTGGACGGGAGGAGGTGGGACCACGAACGGGGCAGAGAAGGCGATCGTGTTGAAGGGCACGGGTGAGGAGGTCGGTAAAGGACATGGGTGGCTCGTAGGCGACGGTGGAGGCGATGTCCTAAGGCAGACCCGCTTGAAGCAGGAAATGAAGACGTTGTCGCTGATCTGGTCGTGGGGAATGTTTTGGTGGATGGTGCAGACATATTGGATGAAGCGGTCGGTGGGGCCGTTTTGGTGAAGCCTGCAAAACTGGTCGACATAGTCGTCGATTGTCTTTTGTGGGCGGAAGGTGGCGGAGAGGAGGGAGGCCCACTCGAGGAAGGAGAGGGGAGGTAGGCTGGTGGAGTGTCGGTTGGCGGATTCGGTGATCCACCACCGATGGGCGGTGTCGACGAGTTTGTCGACGGCGATGGAAAGCCAGTGGATAAGGGGGACGTTGTGGAGTTCGAAAACTTGTTGCAACTTGGCAAGGAAGAGGAGAACGTCGTCATGGGAGTGTCCCGAGAAGGTGGGAATGTCTTGGAGAAGGAGGGATGGGGGAAGGTAGCTGGTTTGGGGGACACAGCGAGCGAGAGTGTTGAAGTCGGGTGATGTGCGTGCGGATGCGGGGGGAGGCTGGGGGAAGGTGGGGAGGAGCGTCGAGGATGACGCGTAGGGGATTTTGGTGACTTGCCTGTATGTGAGCAGGATGGATGGAATGGTCAAAGTGGTCAGGATAGGAGTGGAGATGTGTTGGTGAGGAGGGAGGGAACAAAGGTGTGAGATGGCAGGGGTGGAATGTGGGGGGGGGTGGAAGTGGAAGAAGTGTTGGTGAGGAGGGAGGGAACAGGCGGTTAGTATGGATGTGGAAGGGGGTGGAGTTGTGGTGACCACTGTGATGGTCGGAGCTTGTTGCTCGAAGGCGGTCATGTGATCGGAGAGAGCGGAGATGGTTGTTTGCATGTTGATATTGGAAGACTCAGCCATGGGGGTGGTGGGGGGTGATGCGGTTGTGGTGGCGATGGCAGCGGCGGAAGTGGCACCAGTGGATGAGGTGGCAGCGGCGGAAGCGGCTGAAGTGGCAGCAGCGGATGAGGCAGCAGCGACGGCAGTGGCTTCAGCAGTTTTGCGCGAGGTGGTGGTTTGGCGCCTCATGCCCGGGGGGGGGTGTTGAAGGCGGGGGGRGGGGGGTTGAAGGCTGCGTCTTGTGGTCGGCATTTCAGAATCGGTGATGACGTGGCAGCGACGATGATGACGTGGCAATGATGATGATGACGTGGCAATGTTGATGTTGAAGATGACGACGACGGGGATGACGTGGCAATGTCGATGACGAAGACGATGATGACGATGAAGACCTGGCGTGGCATCGTTGAAGCTGCTCCATGTCGATCAGGGCGGGCGGGAGGGCGATTGACGCTGCTCCGATACCAGCGTGACGAGGCAGAGGCAGAGCAGCGACTCTGACGGACGCGGACACAAAGTGGCAAAAGTCGCAGTCTTGAATGAACACAATGTCGAAGCAAAGTCGCACTGAGCACATGCACTGAGGCTGAAAACTTGGTGCCCGTACTGGCTTGAGTCCGTACATATGTACCGGACTCAGGTACGGTCCTGAGGGTGAAAGTGAAAATGCCTCAGGGCCAGAACTGAAAATCGAACGTCTGAGAGTGGGCACCAGAATGTTGGATGGCGCCAAGTGTCCGAAATCCGAAAGTCCCAAAAGAAGGAATTTGAAAACGGGCGTCAGAATGCAGATGGCGCCAATTGTCGGAAATCAGAAGACCAAAAACAAAGTAAAATAACACAAGAAAATTGTAAAAAGTTACTAAAAACAAGAAAAAGAATACAAATACAGCAAGCTGGTGGATAGTAACCTGCAGACCAGGGATCGAGCCCTGGCGGAGTCCGTAACAGGGAGGGTGATCTGGGATGGTTGGAAGGGGTGTTTAGGACTGCTTGGGGGTGTGCGGAGGATATCTGGGAAGGGTGTGTTTTACAGCTGGTTTATGATGACGATGATGATGATGATAAAGTAGAAGAATGGTGATGATGTTCTACTCTTGCTGTCAGAAATTACAGGTACTTCAGGAGACACTAAGACTGTGATAGTCATGCTGGTGATGATGTGAGACTTCATCTACTAACTCTGTGAGTCTGTGTGTTCTCCGGTAGAAGCTTGTTTTACATGTCCCTTTTCTTTTGTAAAAAAGGAAAAAAACAGCAGTTTCATTATTGCTGAAAACTGGGTTCAGCGTCCCTTACATAAAGACCTCAACGCTTTCCTCCGTTAGGTTGTTGGGAAAAGACAGCACACATGACTCTTTTTTCAAGCTGTACGAATTTCACTCTTATCTCTTCAGCTGCCATCGTTCTTTTTTTTTTCTTCCTGTTCCATTGCCATTCTGCTTGTAACTGTACCTGTTATCATGTGTGGTATGGTATTATCAGTATTGTTTGTCACTGTTGCTTTTTTCTTCTGTGTGTCACTTTCACTATTATAGTATTATTAACCCTTATATAAGTTGGTAGTGCAACTTCTACCCACTCTTCAGCTGCTTTTGTTAACTCTGGGAACACTAACAGAACCAATGGAGTCTTTGACAAGTACACCGTTGTAGCCGTCCATGTATAGAATTCTTGTGTGTAATGCTACATGCATTAAGAACTGTTTTCCCCTACTGGATGTGCTCCAAACACCTTCGGTGTAGATGAAGGATTTTCTATTATGCAAAAGACTGTGATTCGGCACCCGCGCAATCTTCTTGATGAATGATTTCCAATGCAGAGATGACTTGCCAACATCAGCACAAAATTTGTGTTGCTTTGTATGCTCTCAGTCACAGGTGAGGGGCTCCTATTGGAATTGGACTCTTCACTGAATGTAGTTATGGACATGCAAGAGATCCTACTCTCAACACAGATCAGTGGTTTTGCTGCCCGAGGGCTCCTTACGTCACGGAAGCCTCTGACAGTACGGAGGGCGGACATCATTGGTGGAAATGGCTATCATAAAGAGGTCGATGAGAGTGTGGTCCGTGATCCAGAACTTGCGGTCCAGTTCCCTACAGAGACATTTTATGAGGCAGAGCGGGAGACCAGGCAGGCAGGAAGTGAGGAGGTTCTATTTGAAGGGGAGCCACGGGTCATTTTAGACTGTATGGAGTCTGCGTGCGATCTCAGACGGGCTATACATCAGGATGGCAGCGCCGATGATCTCGGCCCGTCCAAGGAAGGCGTTTGGGAAGGGCGAGTTTCGATTGGAGGTCTCCACGCGGCAGTCACCACATATGAAGTGCAGGTGAGCACTGCTGTGACACTCGTAGAAACTTCGAGTCAATGTTTATGTTTCTGAACCTCATCTGAGAACAGTTGCTAGTCGACTGGTGTTGTGATGTTCGAATTGAAGTGACGATGCAGTTCCAGTCTTAAACCACCACTACCTCCGAGCCTGTTTTTGCGGACCCTGATTTGCACTGCGCACCGAGTTTTGCAAAGCCTGGGGTCCGTTGTGTTTCTTTTCTGGTCTCTTCTGAAAAAGAAAAAAGAAAAAAAAGCACGGCCAGACTTTCACAAAATGACGTACTCAACCGCAAAAACGAAAAAGAAAAAAAATAAACACCCCTCTGGACGTGATACAAGGTAGATACCTGCCTCAAAGTTGTTGTGTGAGTATGCCCTCAGTGAGGGCGTTAAGGCAGGGGTGCCAAGTCCACGGAAAAAGAGGAGAAAAATAATTGAAACTGAAATTAGGGCGGGAAAGCGGGTTCATACACTCTGCATGCCCTCCTTCACAAAGTGTGAGCAGCCTGTGGACTGCGCCTTGCCTTCCTTGCAGGGCATGAAAACAAAAAAAAAGAAACAAAACAAAAACAACGGCAACGATAACCTGAAACTGGCCACAATCGTTGTTAGATGCTTTCTTGTGTGTGAGTACAACTTCGTGCATGGCCTTCCTGGACTTGGTCTTTTGTTTTTCTTTTTGTTTTTCGAAGGGGCCCACGAGGCCCAACTGCCGAGCCTCCGCAGACCCCCAAAAAGTTCGGAAAAGTGGGAAAACAGCCACTTTTCCCATTTTTCCCAACACTGGTGGAGGTAGTGCTGGTTTAATGCCCCTGCATTCTAGCACACAAATCATGGAATAGCTAGACCTCAGGAGGGCTACACAGAAGTCTGAAAATTCTAACTGGTCCATACTGAAGGTTGCAGTTTGCCGTGGTATGTTAAGCAGTTGTTGAATGCTGGAATGACACTCATCTTGAAACTGCAGACTTCCTATGGATCAGCAACTGAGATCTTCCTATGGTTCAGCAACTGAGATTAGTGTGTTTGGGGTGGGGGATATGGTGGCTTGCAGTTGTTGACAGGTTTACTGACACCCCTCCTGCGGGTGTCGTCTTCCATGACAAGCGCTGAGAATAAAGAAGATGATGCAGGGATCTTTCCGGGTGCAATGACTTCATCGTCTGTTCCTGCGTTGCCAGATTCAGAGACCGAATCACCAGAAATACCATACCTGCCTCATGGTAAGGGATGAAATGCGTTTCTCTTCTGAAGATGACGCCGTTCTTATGACAGAAAGCACTCCTTCCACCTTTCCCCTTCTCAGCTCCTCAGTTGCATTTATACTTTTAACTATTAGCTTCAGCGTCCGTAGTTCATTACCAACTGCAACCTATTGTTTTTGTTCTTCCCCAGACTTTCCCCCAAGGGGTAGCCCTTAAATCCAATAGCATATGCGCTATATTTCTGCTTGTCATATTATCAACAGTTACGTCTGTTAATGTGTACTCTACAACCACCAGAGCCGGGTACAACCTCTCTCTCTCTCTCTCTCTCTCTCTCTCTCTCTCTCTCTCTCTCTCTCTCTCTCTCTCTCTCTCTCTCTCTCTCTCTTTTTGTGTGTGTGTGACAACTGACAGATCTCATTAATTCAAGGGGGTGGATCATTGGGAGCAGTTATTCTTGTGTTTGTTGGGGTATCTGCTCACATTGGAGCTCGTGCAAAGAGAATTGTTGTGTGGTCTATTTATTTTCTGCTCTCCCTGTGTGCAGCCCTTTCCATGTGTGAAATCACTCCCTATGTGCAGCCCTTTCACTGGAATGATAGAAAGTCTCAATATTATGCAGGGGTGAAGGAAGGTGGTGTGGTAGGCTGGTTACTGCCACTTTTATCATGTGGTATTTGGACGGAGTCACAGAGGTGATTGGCATGGTGCATCCTCCTCCACTTTCGATCAATTTTGATTGCTTGGTTGCCTCTGCCTTCTTTAGCAGCTCAGTGTTCTCAAAACCATGGCCAGCATTGGCCATTGGGCATTTGGCCCGTCCTGTGCAGGTTCGGTAATTGCAATCAGGGATGTATACGAGGAGTCGTTTGTTGCAGTAGAGGAGCACAGCGGCACATTGGGGACATTCTCATTGACATCAGTGCGTCACTACGGCTTGGCTGGAGAGAGGGCACTTTTCAAGGTAAGGCAGTAAAGACTTCCATCGATTCGAGTGGCCCCTTTCGCCCGTCTATACACGTCTGAAGGTTTCCCTCTACTATCTGAAAAAATGCATGGAATCCTGTGGCAGGGCCCCAGATCCATTCACGGGATCATGAATACTTATAGTCCCAAGTTTGAATTTTGCCTCGTACATTTTGGATAGAGAGTGACACCAAATAATGGAATAATTTCCTGGAAAATACCTCATGATACGGTGGCTGTTCTGTGCATGTTCGAACCACTCGTTCAATCTTCGTAGCATTGATCCTAAAGTTAATTCCACTTTGGGAAAAATTCAAACATGGTTGTGGCTCTTCCCTTTGATAAAATCTTGGGTTTTGCTTTACCTTGTATTAACACTTCATATGTACGAAGTTCAACTTTTAGACCCATTCATCAAAAACTTTTTTGGTTACTTGTGGCAGATTGTTTACTTTTAGGCTGGATTGGATGTCAACCTGTGGAAGCACCCTATGTAACTGTTGGACAAACTTTTGATGTATTTAGTGGTATCCACAAAGGCTGTGAAAGTCTTACGCGTGAAAGCGACTTCATGGGATTCAGAAGTGAAGTTTCTGCTCTTTCAGCCTTGTTTTTTAATATTTCGGTAGGGTAATGTTTCCATGGCATACCAACCAGCCGAATTCAGTTGGTACACCTGTAAACTGTTGAAGTACAGACGCAAGTCCAAATCCTAATGGAGCTACATGAATGCAATGAAATATCTCTGAATTACCCGGGCCTGGTCAACCCAATGATGATATTTCAAAGGTCGTCGCTCTTTTTCTTTGGAAATGTGAACCTGCCAAAGCACAGACTAAGAGAACTGTGCAAGGAATATGAGTGTGAACGATATACAGAAAACCAAGTTGCGAAATCACACAGATGTCCAAGTAGTCGTGTACAAGCAGAGAGCACAATTGCACCGAGAATCCATCCAAATAGAGCAGTACAATGAAGTAATGAGCCAATGTTCAAGCCCTCAGGCCACACCAACACAGTATCCAAAGTTGCCCCTCTCTGTCTGGCGCCCAGTGCCCAGCCTACTCCACTCGACTATCCTACCTACAGCTGTGTTCACGCAACAGGCTCACTTCAACTCTCGAAAACCAATGTACATGATGTCAACACCATAGCCGACCTCTCTTCATGCACCAGGTACGTATCTCGTCACCCTCATCAGACCTCGATAACCCACACTCGCCTCCTTCCCTGAAGACCACCAGATCGCCCGCATTACCCCCTAGCGCCCAGCAGCCCGGCTATGGCTGCCAGCCCCCCACTTCACCTCTACGCGCCCTGCCAGCACCCTTGGCCGCAGCGCAGCATCAATGCAGCAGCACATCAGCGTGTCTGCATTGCCTACGCGGGCCAGCATGCCTGGCCTGGGCTGCCTCATTTCCTATATGGAAGTGGCAGCCTCCTGGATGCTGTGTGTGGCCTGGCTGGAAGCTTCCAGTAGCTTCCGGTTGGGCCTCAGTCATTTCGCCCAGGCTTGAGTCTGTAGACTTGGGCCTGGGCCCTTTACAGTTGGCCACCACCCTTCCCCCATCCTCCGCCTCCACATCTACACCAATCACCCCGCCCCCCACATCCACCGCCCTCTCCGCTAGCACGTCATCCACACCCCCGCCTTCATCCACCACTACCTCCATGATGGTCACCAAGATGACAACCCCCGCCATCACGCAGGCGTCGACCATTCCCCCTCAGTCAAAACTTCTCCTGACTTCATCCACTATCACTTCCACCCTCCCAACCCATACCCAGATCAACCCCACACCACAAGCCCTACTCCCCGTTTTTCCAATACTTCCTCTGTCCGCATTCCTCCCGACCAAGCCCACCACCGATTTCACCTGGGTACCATCCTCCTCGCCCAAACTTGATTTCAACACCCTCGCCACCACAACACCCTTAACAGGTAACATTCCCCCATCCTTCAAATCAATAGACATCCCCCCCTTCATCTGCCTTCCTACGAGGACGTCTTCATCTTCCTCAGCAAACTCTACGACGCCTTCTCCCTCCACAACGTCCTTGTCACACACTGGCTCCCTATTGCCAGCACCAGGTTACAGGAGGGTGCCGCTCGTTGGTGGTACACCGAACGAGCTAACCGGCAACACGCAAACGCAAAACCCCATTCCTTCCTCGAGTGGGCCAACCTCATCACCTGCACATTCCGACCGCATAAAACGGTCGATGACTAGCAACTCTGTCGCCTTCGACAGAACGGCCCGACCGACCGCTTTTCCAATACGTCCGTGCGTTGCGGCAACACATCCCCCTTTACCACGTCAGCGATGCCGCATTTATCTCCCGCTTCAAATGGGGATGCCGCAAGGACCTAGCGCCTCCCTCGCCCATGACCCCCCAATGTCCCTCTCCAATCTCCTCAACCACGCGATTCACCTCGACAAATTCCTCACCCCGTACAAGGACGCACTCACATCCGCCCCACCCCTCCCACGATTCTTTCATAACATCGTCGACGAAACCTCAGACGAATTCTCTGCCCCCGACCCTCTCCGATTCCCTAGACACCACATCACTCTCCTCTGACGAACTCTCCACCATCCACCTCATGCGAATGGAAAAGAGAGAACGCTCTAGCTGCCCTCCCCCGACCACCCTCCCAGGCCCTCAAGAAACTTACACCTGAGGAAAGAGCCCACCATCAGGCAAAAGGTGGATGCTTCCCATGCCGACAAATAGGCCACCAGCAAACCAATTGGCCACTTGCTAGACAATTCACACGCCAGCCCGTGACCCCGCAACCCGCTACTTCCGCATCCACCATTCTCGGGCCCTCCTCCCCTTGAACATTGTCCCCATGGTCACCACGCACCCGTGCTGACATCGACGACTAGTCTATTGGCCATGCCATCGGTGACGATCTCCACCCCACCAGTGACCCATTTGGCAGCGACAATGTGTCTGCCTCCCCCCTCTCCGGTGCGGCACATACCACTGGTCGACCCTGACCCTCGGGCGTCGCAACCCCCGTCGCCTGATGCCCCCCTCACCGCCACATGTTCCACAACCCTCCTTCCGCGGCCATCCTTTGTCACCTTCTTTGATGTTGTTGAGGAACAAGCCCTGTCCGATTAGGCAAATAATCACGCCGCCTCAACACCATTATCTCCACCGCCATCTCATCACGCTTTCAGCTCAAATTCATCGGCGTCACCCTTGGTGCGTCTACAACTAAGTTTCGGGCCCTCCTCGACATTGGAGCCACTGCTAGCTTCATCATCGACACATGTGTCCGGCAAGTCGGTCTTGCCTCTACCGGTTACGACTCCCCGATTACGATTTAGGGGACAAAGACACCGCCATCGTAGTAGATCGCACGGTTCACGAGACCATCGTGACTGTCGGAACCCTCTGCAGTCAGGTTTCATTCGATGTCATGCACTTAATGTGCGACATCGTTTTGGGAACATTGTGGCTGGACCGCTACATGCCATACTCGTTCCACCCCAACTTCATCCGCCTTACCAACCCCCCTGACACAACCATCGACATTCCCTATCTCCCCCATCCCCCCCATTCCCCCCCCCCAAGCTCCGTCACCGCGCACCAATTCCTTCACATGGCTCGTACGTACCTGGACTCCACCTACTATTACCTTGTTCTTGATCGCGAGCGTGCGGAGGACTTGCTCCCAATGGACAAACCCGACCAAGCCCCCCCCTCCAACCCCGCCCTCACCTCGATCCTCAACAAGTTCAAGGACATCTTCCCCGAGTCCTTGCCCGCCGGATTACATCCGGATCGTGGCGTATCCCACACCATCGATTTGGAGCCCGGTCACTCTCCACCTTGCCGCCCTCTGTACCAACTCTCCGTTCTGGAAGCCGAAGAAATGAAGCGGCAACTCAGTCAACTTCTTGAAAAAGGATTCATTAAGCCAAGTTCATTCCCCTTCGGCACAAGCTGCCTTTTCATTAAGAAAGGCGGAACATCGGAACTCCGGATGTCCACAGACTACCGCGCCTTGAATTGGATCACGATCAAGAACAAGTACCTCCTACCTCGGATCTCCGAGCTTCTTGATTGCCTCCGTGGAGCCAAATATTTTACCAAAATTGACCTTCGCAGTGGCTTCCACCTGATCCGCATCCTCGAGGAGGACATCCACAAAACCGCATTCCGTTCTCGCTTTGGGCACTGTGAGTTACTCGTGATGCCCTTCGGACTCACCAACGCCCCCACCACATTCCAATCCACCATGAACCATATCTTCCGCGACCTCCTCGAAGTTTGTGTCGTCGTTTACCTCAATGATATCCTTGTCTATAGCCCGACCACATCTCCGCCAAGTACTCTCTATCCTCAGAGAGCAAAAATTCTACGCCAAGCTTAGCAAATGCACCTTTGCCACTTCAAGCGTTGAATACCTTGGCCACATCGTCTCCGTTGAAGGTATACTCATGGACCCCTTGAAGGCCACCGCCGTCATCGAGTATCCACCACCCAAGACCCTACTCCAACTTTGCTCATTTTTCGGCCTTGCCAATCTCCACAAACTCACCCGCAAGGATGAACCGACCGCTGCCAAAACACCTTCGACTTCCTCATACAAACCATCACCACGACACCCGTTCTCAAGATCGCCGACCCCTCTTGAGCCGTCCTATCCCAACACTTCCCTTGTGACACCGCTGAAACCCCCTCCATCCAATACTCCCCCACCCACCCCGAGGCTCCACCCGGCGAATACTGCATCGCCTTCGCTAGCAAGAAGATCCCTCCCGCGGAGATGAACTACTCCAACGAGAAGGAACTCCTCGCCGTGGTCCACGCCCTCAAAGTCTGGCGCCCGTTCGTTGACGAACAATACTTCACCATCCGCACGGACAACACCATCGTTTCCTCTATCATCTCCAAGAAAGACATCACGTCGTGTCAAGCCCGTTGGTTAGACTTTCTTGCCCAATTCACATTCACCATTTGCCACACACACCCCCGACA